TATAGGGTCCTCCTAAACGGGACTGCTCTTTGCCATTCTGAACCTGTAGGGACCAGGATCCCAGAGTGGCAAACTCGGAGAGCTCGAATTTGCCAGTGTAAACGCCACCGGTGGTCTTGATGTGCTTCTCCTGCTTGATGCGATTCCTCTTGGAGTCCTCGAACCACACAACCACTTCATCCTCGGCCGTTTCCGGGAGCAGGTTCTCGTTGAGGAAGATCACACGGTAGTTGATCGTATCGCCGGGCTTGTACTTGCCCTTGTCGGTCTGGATTTTGATGTAGGGCCTGAAACTCTCCCATGACAACTTGGTGGTGTTCTTAAACTCCAGTCCCTTGACACCCTCGGCCGTGAGATTATATTCACCCGACTCCAGGGGTGGTAGTTTGAAGGTGATCTGCTTGAACTCATCGGAACTGGCCAGCTCCACTTCTTGGGTTTCATTGTACGAGGGCCCTGTGATTCCCACTTTTAGTGTGACGGGCTCCTTGGTCTGGTGAACAGCCACTGCCACATTGTAATCCCGATTGGAGTGGATGGTTCCGGGACCCACAATGGTGTATTTACTGGAAAGAATATTAAAATTTTTTATTATCTTCTCCGTTTCTGGAAAGGCGGGCTATTGATATTAAAAAAAAAACATTTTTTCCCCGTACTAAAATGTTTAAAAATTTTAATTATTTTCGTCTAATCTCAAGACGAAACACATATGTAAATGGGACTTCCAAATTTTAAATCATTTATGTGTTATTACACTTTAACCTCATGATGATAATGAGCCCATTCTTTTGAGGGCATTCAACAATTTTTTCTTAAGCTTATAGGTTTTTTGTTCTACAACAATGAGTTATACTTAAATATGTATGTTTATAGTATATTTATACATGCATTTATAATGGCCCCGGGGAGATAACGGTAAAAATTCCGGGAACCTGATCTGCTACATAAAAATTTGAAACCGGCTCAGAGATTATATAATCCAAGTTTATAACAAGCAGCCATTTTTCTCGCACTTACAGTCCTCGATCACGTACTCCAATGCTAACTTGATTGTTCATCACTATTTGTTTATTAGCCATTACTAACTTTGTTTGTGAACTGGTAATATTCTATCTTTTAAGATTTTTAATTGTATTCAATGAAACACCTCTATATTCATTTCTAATTATTGATAATTACGTACACTGTAAAAAGTACAGGTACAAGATTAATGACTTATTCACCAACAAAATCATTAAGACAAACAAAATATGTGACGTGCTCATTTATTTAACAATAAAATATAAAAATTGTATGTTAAATGGCTTACTTTGAAATTCAATTAGCATCACAAGTTGAGCCAAACAAGAAATTCAATTTAGAGATGTGGTAAAAAACACGTAATTGATTTCTAAATAAATGGCATACAAGTTTCTTCGAGTTTAATCTGAATTATTTTAGGATTTTGTGTTGACTCGCTTACAAATTTTATTTTTATAGAAAACTTTCCTTTATAACGGCAAGGGCAAATAATAAGAAATATACATCTACAAATATATACATCAAATTAATTAGTGATAAGGCAAAAGGGGAACTACACCAAAAAAAAACCAGTCAATTACCTTGACATTTACTAAAAACAGTGCTATTTTGATATTTAATAAATTAAGTATGGTTTCCCGGCTTACTCATTTTATCTCTTTCGTTTTCATATAATGTAATAGAATACTTTCCTATACAGTGCCAAGGGCAAACAGGATGAAATATAACATTAAATTATTAAGTGATTAGACAAAAAGGGAAAAAAAACAAAAAAAAACAAGTCAATTACCTTGACGATTATTAAAAACAGCGCTATCTGCCTATATGCATATTTAATTAATTAAAATACACACCGACAGTCAGAGGTAGCTGGTGAACAAATGGTAATACTAAGTATGAAATACATACATATATGGGTTCCACTTTAGTAATTTTTTGTGTTAATAATAATAGTAGTAATATGATATGTCAATTATTTTAACTTTTCATTAAAACTATCTATAGGTTTGGCCAATGATTTAAATTTTGATATTAACCATATTGAGCATCTGGTTTTTTTTTGACAATCTTTTTAACATATATACCTAATATAGGTGATAATCAAAACAAGAATGGTATGTTTTAATTATCATCTAAATTTTCGCTTTCCCCAAAACCCTATTTAACTATCATTCTGACCGCAGGTGTGTGTTTCAATCGATCCGATCACTTAGTATAAATTGGAAATGGACTTACCCCTCGGCCTTTACCGGTTCCATCGTTTGCAGCAGGGCCAAAATCGCACAAACCGTGACAGCAAAAGCGTCTGCGCGACGCATTTTGTTTGCGTTGGTGGTCAAAGGAGGGCAGGAGAAGCAAAAATAATAAAAAGTACAAATAAAATAAAGTAAGTTCTCTGGCTACAGATTGTTGCGGAAAGTATATTAAGCGCGGCCACAACCGACGGTGCTCAGAGTCGAGCTGGGACTGGTTCGGTTTGATGCCCCACGGATTTGTTATAGCATCGAGACTCAACAGTTCCCAAGCCGACTTCAAATGAGTCGAGCGATAAAAATTATAAGTCAATAATACTGTCGGTGTGAGCGAGGGTATATAATCGCTTATATGTACATATGTATGTCTGTTTACTTAAATCGATGACGAGCTGGGCAAACAAAACCAAAACAATAACACAGACCACAAAAAAAGCCGGCAATCGCGCCTTGAATATCAATAATGGTGTGTATTTACTTGAGCCAACTCCAAAAAAATATCATTCATTATGGGTTATAGAAAAATGGGTTGAAAGAGTTTACTACATACAAAGACAACATTTTTCATTTATAATCAAAAATATAAGATAAGGGTACCAAATCAGTAGAGCCGAAATTTTTTACTAGACAGTGAAGTGATCGAAAATAAATACATAATCGAATTTTTAAAAGCTCTTTTGAATAAAAAAATATTTTGTGTAGATATATTTTTTAACACGTCAGTTAACACATATTTATAAAAGCATTGACTAATTGATTATTTCGTCATATCTAGAAATTCACATACAAAGTGAACATTTGGCGTGTTTATATAGAACAACAGAAAAAGGGTTTGGCCCCTGGGCTTAACTGATTAACCATGAATGATATTTCAGGCATTTGTCACAGAACTATGGTCATGCAATTGTCAAATTAAAAGTGTTTTTGTGTATTTTCTACGGGGTTTTCTAATAATTAACACTTTAATTGTCACTAATAACTGTCGCTTCGTGTTTTCCGCAATAATTCAAGATTTAGATTTTTAAGTAATTTAAATGATTTACGTACATGAGCTGAGTTTTAAAAAAAACCCCAAATATTTTTTTCTTCCTGGAAGCACAAAGTACTGGTAAAATCCCAATATATTTTATTGAATGTAAATGTTTATGAATTTTGGGTGTGATTAGGGGGCTGGGATTTTTTTTCGACTTGTTGATTAACAGTGCCAACAGAACTGGCGTCTGAATCGGAATACTGCAGCAAACTGACTAGGCGTTATATATACCAAACTCTCTCCTCTCTGGGTCAGCTGTTGTTGTTTTGGCTCAGTTTGATGGGACGCTATTTGCGACTCTCTCGATTTGCCCAAGAATGACGTCACTGGGCAGTATTTCACATCGCTTTGCAAATGAAACTTGTATATAATGTAGATATGACTAATGGTCGATAAGTACTATATAAGAGAGATTCGACAACCTGGATTTCTGTTTGGTGATTCCCCTTGGCTCTCTCTTGGGCGGTAAACTACATTTCCTGGTGATATACCGGTATTACTCTTCTGCGAATACCCTGTAATCCGGGCAATGATCTTAAAATCTTCTTGGACGTACATATGAGGTTCAGTTCAATTAAAAAACGATTTCAAGGAACTTTAATTCTAATACTACAAACAAAATATATCTGTTCAATATTTTTTTATAATAAAAAGTGTAATAACAGATTCGCGGTAATATTATTCATGATCCATTTAAATTGATTAGAAATATACTCGTAAACCAAATGTACAATATATGTAAATATATGTTTAACTGTTTTCTTGAAATTGAAGAGCTTACCCCATTTAAAAGATCGTGTTTAGCGATTAAGTCGAACCTTCGGACATATGAACATGTCTATATCACAGTTCCGCTTAAATACTTTAGTAAATATATGATTGGCTAATCAATCATTGAGTTCGCGGAATTGTTTGCATGTATTTTTCGTTATTATCTGCAAAGAGTAGAAGAGTACAATAGATCTCCCCTAGTTCCCTATCTAAAAGTATTATTCTTTTGTTCTTAAAACTTCTCAATTTCTCATTACGCATACGACATGTGTGCCATTTCTGACCTTTTTACATATATTTGTGTTCTGTATAGGACAAACATAGGTAAAAAATCTTTGTTGCAAAGTGTTGACAATGGACTTCCCCACACAAACATTTCTAGTCCCTTATCTTTTTCTCTTCGCTTACTTTTAACCGTATATTTATCGGGCATTTGCTTTTGCTAGAAATTTCACAACATCTATCACCATAGTCGACTATTTGGGTGGACCCAAACAAGTATGATCTACAAATTATAAAAATAAAATACGTAGAGCAAAAAATTAACGATACTTTTTGTAACTTTAATAAAAATTTTGTATTGTACAGAAAAAGTAATTTTTTTTTAAAACATTTTAAGTGCCTTGACTCTTTTTTTGGAAAACACTCATGGTGCAGAACATGATTAATTCCGAACACTTGGCACGGCCACTTATCCAAACCGGTTTTAGAATGCTCCAAAAATAACAATAATCACAGGAGAGCAATGCCAATCAATACCACCTGGGGCTGCTGCTGCCGCCTTTCCCGCCCCAAGGTAAAAAACACGTGAACGGGGCAATCCGCTGAATCACCTTTATGCGAACGCCGCGCTCCACTGGCTTTGAAAGTGTGATTTTTGCGGATCGAGAGAGAATAGCGAGCTTTCAATGGCTTTTTTCCAGCTGTTCCATGCCGTCAGGCCGTCAAAAGCGTTCTAACACTCGCCTCGAGTGGTCGCGATCATCACAGTTTATGGTGCCAACCATTAGCTTATCGGTTTTACCTGCACATCTCACGTAGCAGATAAGGGATTTTTCCAAAAGATCCATAACATAATGACGGCTGCCGAATTACAAGGTTCCTATGGAGGGTACTACTTTGGTTTCTGCACACTGATCTCACATGTGCTCCTGGCGGGGATCACCGCAGCCATTGTTTACAAGTGTCTGGTGCTCAAGTTGGTACACACCGCCGGACATGCCTTCTACTGTACAATAGCCGTAAGTACTCTAATTTATTTTCGCAAACAGATACATTAGGATAGATAGATAGGAGCCATAATAAAAGAGAATGGTATCACATATCTCATATATTGAGATCGTTTGCTCTTATATAATGTTTAGCTAAATATTGTAGTTATCTGATGTATACAATTTAAAAATTCCGTTTCTTCAAAATAAATTAGATATTTATGATTTTAAAATGTATAAAAATAAATACCAACTGAGCTCCTCTTAAAAAATACAATATCTGAGTTACTTCAAATTAAATTAATACATAGTAATAAGTTTCCTATAAAATATTATAGTTGATCAAAATCAGATCATGTAGTTGTTATAGGGACGACTAAAAGATTGTACCTTATAGGTATTTCTTACATAAAATTTGCCACCCCGCAGATATATAGCTAATTTATTGATTTTGCTGAACCATGATTACAAAACATAATTTCAATTTTCTGTATTTTCTCCACAACAGTTTGTTTTCTTCATGGGCGAGGCACTGCTGGTGCGAAATAGCACATATCTGGAGTCGTGGATGGGTCCTCTAAACCTCAACCGCCTACATGCTGCCCTGGGTCTACTGGCTTTCGTGGTGGGAGTTGGCGGAATCGGAATCAAGACATGGCAGAAGCTGGAGCGCAAACGTGAAGATCCCAATGCCACCGTTCAGCACTTTAAGAGCAATCACGGCTTCTACGGTGGGTTTCGAATGTTCTATCCCAAAATATAATAATAATGATAATTTATTCCTCCATCTCTCCCCATCAGGTATTGTCGGCTGTGCTCTTCTGCTCGGTAGCGTTCTCAGCGGTCTTCCGCTGTATTTTATTAACGGAGGCTTCACCTTGAAAACGCTCCATCGGTTCTTCGGATTGACTGGATTTCTTGCCCTTATGGTATCGCAAATGTTCGGGTACAACACCGGGTTCGGCAAGCGACAGTGGAAGCCACATCACCAGAAACTCTTCAAGTTTTTCACATTCATCGCTACCATAACGACTGCAAATTACGAATTTCGTAGATTTGTACGGGATATTGCTGGATTGGCGACCAATTATTTTATTGGATCAGATTCTGCTGAGGCGAGAGAAGATCTTTAAGGCTCTATCAATGAGCGAGTGTTTTTACTCTGGGATATCAATACTTCAGGGCGATTTGCGAGGAAACGAATTCCGCAACTAAGTATTGTAGATTTAATAGTCGCTGAATAATAGTGTATGTACTATGCGAAACTGATTAGTAAATGTTCATTGTACATTTTGTTTATAAAAAGTTCGCAAGTATAATGTTGTAGATACTATTATGTTATCTAGTTTGTGAAGTCTTTACTTGTCTATGTCAATCACACTCTACTTAACCGTATCAATGGGAAATAAGAATTTTTTTGCCAAAACAAGAATTATTTTGATTTTGTGCCTTTATTGTAATTTCACACATATAGCTGTTGATTATTTAAAACATAATATACATACATTTTCACTTTTTTTTTTTTGGTAACGAGATTAGTCAAGCACCACAGAAAAATCTAAAACTACATAGTTAACAGAAACAATAAAATGAATTCCCTTTTTTCGTTGGGTCTTATAAATATTGAAGATACATTGTGGATATATGGATATATTGAATATGAATATTTAGTTGCGGTTCTGCGAGACATGCATAATATCCAAGGCGGCTGGAATATTGCCTTGAACCGACTCCAAAAGCTGGGTGAGCCAGGCACCCTCGTTGCTGAATCCCATAGCCATCATGGCGTGGATCGATGCATTGATGCGTTCATCTAAAAAAAGGAATGCTTAGTAAAAGGCTTCAAGAGACTTCTTAGTGAACTTACCGGTGTGGTAGACGGGCACACTTCGCTTTTCCTCAGGAGCTGCTGGGGAAGTGCCCACGCTATTGGTGGAAACTGATGTGGTCGAGGTCGAAGTACTCACCGTATCCACCTGAGAAGTCTGGGTGTTGGCTGTAGCCTGCTCCACGCGGGCCTCTTCATTAATGTGCTGACGCAAAAGTTCGCTCAGCTGACCAAAGTCACGCACCGGCTGCTGTGGAGCAGCAGTGGGATTGGTCGACTCCAGATTGATCAAGTTGGTGTTGTTTGCGGAGTAGGCATTGTCAATAACTTGCCAGTCCTGGTCCAAGCTTTCCGAACGGCTTCTACCCTCCTCCGGCTCGGTGGAGGTCACTGGGGCAGCTACAGCTGATTTGGAAATCAGCGGTTCTGTCTCCAAGGGTTCACCAGACATGGATCCAGAAATAGAGGGAGTAGCAGATGGGGCATTTGACTGATTGGCCGAGGGAGCAGCTGAGGGAATAGACGACGGAGGTGCAGAGGGGGCAGCTAATGGAGCTGCAGAGGGAGCAGCTGACTGGCTGGCCGAAGAAGCAGTAGACTGGCCACTGGATTGAGCCTTCTCCTCTGGTTTCTTGGTCTCATCGCTGGTAGTCATTGAGGGACCGAAAATTCCCGAATCTCCTAGCTCAGAAGGATCGATCATCTTGGCAAACATTTCGCTGAAATTGTTCAGGATCTCGATGCCAGCGCGCATGTACTCGGGTGGCACCATCTGCGACAAGTTCTCCAGGTTGATCACTGGAGTGGTTGGAGTAGTCACTGGAGTGGTTGGAGTAATCACTGGATCCTCGGTTGGGGGAACAGTTGGAGCAGCATTTACCTTCTTCGGTTCAGTTGGCGGCTTGGCCTCGGTTTCTGCTGCCTTTTGAGCGGTAACAGTGGGCTCAGCTTTTGGAGCACTTGGTGGTGGTGCTGTAGCCTTGGGCTTTTCCGGTTCAGCTGTTGCAGTGGCCGCCGCAGTGTCATTCAGCGGCAAGTTAGATATCATCTCCACAAACTGGGACAAGACACCGCCATGGCGACGGGTGTGACGACGTTCTCGGCGACTCTCCCTGGTGGGATCGCCACCGGGAGCAGCCTGTGCGGCCTCCTGGAACGGGCAGTGACCCTTGGAGCGACGGCCACAGCGGCGTCCCGATGGACCCGACCCGGTAATCCAGGCATCAATCGAAGTGGGCCCATTGTTGGTCGGCATGCGAATCATCAAGTGCTCGGGATGCTTATGGGCCGCCTCACACTTCTGGCAAAGATCAAAGTTGCTGCACTGGATGCACTTATAACGAAAGCCAATCAACGGGTCCAAGCCGCAGCCATCGCAGGTGACCAAGTCATGGATGGTGAAATTGCTCGGATCGTCAACGGAAGGAGCTGGGGCGTTGGTCGAAGACTTCTCCTGCTTGGAGGCCTTTGGCTCCTCTACTACAGACGCCAATGGAGCCACTTGAACATGCATAGTGTCCGCGCACTTGACCAGGAAAATCTCATAGTCATTTTGGTTGATCATTTCGATTTCATCCTGATCAGTATCTGAAAATGTTAAATAAAAAAGAACAGAAGCAAAACAATCATGAGTCATTTTTAGGTTTTAGGTTTTTGTTATCACAGGTGAATCACCCATAGGTCAGGCTAGACAACTTAGCTGTAGATCTGGTTATACCTGCATAACTAAATTAAGCTAGTTTGTTTTTTCAGTGCGAATACCAAAATAATAAATATTTTATTAGTTTTTTTCACGTCGATATAATAGTTAATGGTATATTCTTCTTATTTTTTTGTATAAATAATTAATTTTAGGGTACTATGTTTAATATTTCAAGTAATGTTTTAAACATTTCATAATCAATTTGTTGACCACGGTACATAGCAGGTCCATATAAATATTTATCAGCTAAATATCAAATGTGTCAACACATATTTTGCCATAGATAGGCGTAAAGTCCAGTAAGTATTTTGTAGGGAAATCCCAGAAATTAAAAGTAAAACGCAATTTTCGGCTACTATTATAAAGAACGTTTTCAGAGTTTATATAGCTATAAAAATTGTCAGCACTATTTTGCCAGATGCAGTTACATATTGTGTATGTATATACATACATATATGTATGTATAAAACCGTGTTGCAATTTTCTGGTCTCTACTGAAATTGTCCACCTGCACCCTGGTATACAGTTATTTTATCCGGAATTTTTGTTATTCAACTCACCGATCCAGAAGGTCCTTATATCGCATTTCGGCAGCTGGCGTTCATGGAAAAGATATAGCTCAATTTCGCCGCGCAGTATGGTGTAATTCTGGCTGGGCAATCGCAAGTATGCGTTAATTTTCTTTTGGGGTCCAGCGACGTCTCCCTGGTAGGTGATTTTAAAAAGCTTTTCCGGCATTTTCGCAATGTCTTCTATAGTTTCTGTAGAATTGCTCAATATATTTCGTTCGATGACGCGTTTATTTCACGTTTAACTTGTTGCAGCGAATTTATGTGACAGATTAAACGAATTTGGAGCTCTCGACTACTGCGTCGTAGTTGTTCGGGCGTTCGATGGTGTATAGAATTGCAGCTGAATCGACGGCAGGTTTATATACTGCCCGAACTAGTTACTGGAAGGTTCTTGATAGGACTGGGCTCCAAATTATTGCAAATCACGGTACTACCTTACTGGGCTGCAGTGGTTGATCTAGCCCGAAAATTGTATAGTAATGCCAAAGCTGGTCTTTGACAAAGAATAATAATATTTTGGTTATCGATAATGCAAATATTTCCTCGGTATTTTTATACGCTGCAACGAGGTCAACTTTTGGTATATTGTGTTATGTTTGGAACTAGTTCATTTGTGTTCTTACTTTGCTAGTATTTGTATTTTCAAATTTAAAACGCTTTTCTTTGAGATTTATTTCTTTTAATATATATACACATAGTGTAATATGCTTAGCACCCCCTAATAAAAGAAAACATTTTTAAGTGAAGATAAAACACTTACACTTTTTTGTGTAGAGTAATTACTCTTCACCTATAAAGTGGAATCACGAAATATCATATGCCGCGCTGTGCAAAACGTCTATTAGGACCAACGAAAATTTAAATTTGAAGTAGGATTTTAATTTGATTAGACATATTTCCTAATAACTTAAAACTAAATGTTTGACATTTTTACTGAACTAAGATGTTTAGGCCTTAGAAGTCTTAAGCATCTTCAATAGCTGCAGCAGTTGAGTTGGAGTCCTGAAAAAGCACACAATTCAATATATTCCATTAAAATTACACTTATTTCAACAACTAACCGGCTGGAGTTTTGTGGAGCTATAATTTGTTGTTGTCTGCTTTCCAAATCGTTTTTGGACTGCTCTGGAATTTTAGTAACGCCTTCGGGAGCTGCAGGTTCCGTATCTGTGACGGGATCCTTTTCGAACATTTGATTCGATTCTGGTTCTGGAGTAGATTGGCGCATCATCATTTCACCTGAGCAGGGAGACATTTTATAATGGAATTTGACCATCCTTTTGGCAATACTCACTTAGATAATATTCGGCCATCGTGTAAAGCCAGTTGGAACCCATTTGAGGGGCCATCCCGATAACGACCCCATCAAGTTTTAGCTGAAAGTTTTCAGCGCCCTTTTGCCTTTGGTCGTAGAGAATATCCTCCCGCTGGAAACCGTTCTCGGAATAGTCATCATATAAGACCTCCAACAAGTCGCTGACCACGTTCCTCGAATTCCCTGGCCTAATCTTGCCGCCAACGGGATGGGCTAGACTTTTTCCAAATGCCAAAAGCAGCAGGGCAAAGACAAACAGCCGGTTGGTGAACTTGCACATTTTCCCTAGCAAAAAAACGGCAGGACCGATGTGCTCCAAAGGCGTTTGGAGAATGATTCCATATTCTTAGCAGCTCTAAAGGCAAGCCCACCTGAACCAGAAGACCAAGAAAACCCGATTTCTGGACACAGTTCAATGGCCGCCGATCGGCCCAATGACTTCCGCATTGCCAGGGAGCTGTGGGAATCTTCTGCTCAGAGCATTTCTAATGCTTCCTAGCAGCCATATAAGAAAGCAGTCCATTCGATAGGAGCTATCTGCAGAGCAGATCTGTGGCTGGTCGTCTCCGATTCCAAATCCCTTTCTACAAACTAACAGATTATTTTAAAACTTAAAAGTTCGCTTAATCTACACTTTAGAAGAAAATAGCTCTTAAACACATAATATAGAAGTTATATTAGATGGTTTCTGGGTAAACTTAAAATTTAAGTTTCAAATAAATCCTGAAAACGATTGCAAAGATTTAAAAAATTAATTATTTCTTCCGAAGACAGGTGAAGATTATAATTTTTCGATATTAAAACACAGAAAATGGTATAATAAGATGACAACAATTACAATAATTGAAAGTTAAGTTTTAAACATAATATAATAATTTTAATATAGGTAGGTATACAATATATTCTCCCTGTTTCTGATAGGCCACCAAGAATTAGTTCAAGAAATTACGCAGGTAAGCATGATTCCCAAAATGTTAACCCAATAACCTCGATTCGAGCTAAGCCGAAAAGAAATGGGAGATCTTCATAACTATACTAATTGCCCGCCTGCAATATACATATGTGCGCCCAAAAATATGTTTACTCTTCCAGTTTTCTCGTCTGTGTGCAGTTCTGGGCGCAGGTTCAATGACTTGACCACAGGAAGAGGCTGGTAGTCGCCTTTGGGTGCGCCCACCTGCAAACTGGTTTCGCATAGAAAACTTGCACATTGCAAATTATGGAGCAGATGGCCTTTGTCTCTGGATAGTAATTGCCGTTCTCTGCCCCTGGCTGTCAAGATTTCAGACTCATCCTTCAGCACATCATTATAATCATAGTCGAACCGTTAGATCCAGTGAGCACTTCCGCTATTAGCCTAAGGTAAACACCAAAATGGTGATTAACAAACACAGTACGAAAAGGAAAAATATCGTTTATATCATTAGTATATCTTAATAGGTAATAAACCATAATGTAATAATAAACGTTTTCTAATATGAAACCATATCTAAACAGTGTTCAGTGAGCACTTATATTAACCATAAAGTTTTTATTATATCGCAATATTATTAATAGCCACTTAAAAGCTTTGATCATTTTCCGCTCTCCAATTAACGACCCATTTAAATAGTATTTTATTTCAGTGGCGATTAAGTTTTTGTATTTATTGGTAAGACGATTTTGTCGGCTTAATTCTACAGTGTGTGCAAAGTATGAAACTAACATTTAGGCTGGCAGTCTGGCGGTTCTCACTCCTCCTCAGTAGCCCTCGATCTGGCGACAGGCTCCGTAGCTATCCCTCCGCTCCCCGCGGGCACAGCGGGCCAAACCGTCTCGTAGGAGGGTTCGGGACTCGGCCAGGTCATCATCGGCCAACAGATCGAAGCTTACGATCTCTGGGTCAACGGCTTGAGGCCGGGTGGGCTCCTCGTCCAGCTGCCAGGACCGGGATTGGTCTGAGAAGTAGGTTGGGACATCGATGGGAGGGTAAAGACCACTGGCTCCGCCTCCAAGATCGCTGCGATAAATTGGAGCACTGATGGAACGCGGACTGGCAAAGTCACCGCCAGTCAAGCGATTGGTATCCAGATAGCTGTCACCTCTGAGGGATCGGGAACTGCGGAAGTACTGCGATCCGGGATGATTGTAGCTCTCGAGAAGATTGGAGCCAGCACTGCTGCTTGCAGAAACAGGGGGCAAGGCCTGAATCAACTCAGGTTCCGCCTCTAGATGAAAGGGCTTGATTAGCTGCGGCATGGGAATCGATTGAGGAGGCAGTACGTCCACCTGTTGGCGTTGCAAACGCTGTGCCTGCTCGGGATCGCTGGCCGAGATGTCCACGTGATAGGGTGAGCGTCCTTCAATGAATTCAGGCAGCGCCATCGCTTGCGATTGTTGATGATGATTCTGTTGCTGTTGAAACTTCTGGAGATGACTCTTCTGATAATAGGACTTCAGGGAGTTGCTCCTCAGGGGATGTTTACGCTTGAGGGCTCCACTGCCCTTAGTGTTTCCACGACCCAACAGTTCCAGCAGGCTGATACCCTCCTGCGGTCCAGGTGGGATGAGCAGGATCATGAAGTTCTCGAGATCAGCGCGTATGTTATACTGCCCCTCCTGTCGCTGATCGTAGGTAATAGTCCGGCGACGCAGTGCATCCTCGTCACCGCTGGGCGAAATAGGAGGTTGCAGTAAAATTGGTTGGCCACTGGAACCGCTAGACTCGATAGCCTGGGGCGGAGCTACGGCTGGGAAGTGCTCCTCCTTGATGATCTGCGTCTGCTCGGTGTTGAGAGCTGGTGGGGTAAAGGGCTCCACTGTGGAGCTCAAGGGATTGGCCAGTGTAGCTGCCAATAGCAGGGGTAAAAGCGTGAAAGTCTTCCAGGCCATTTCTCTTAGTTGATCTTCGATCTTCAGGTCAGGTTGCTCCGCTCGGCGTTCTTGACTGGCGCGCTTCTGCCTCGCAACTGATTCCCAATCCGATGGGAGAGCTTCGATGTCAGCGCAGGCGCAACTTTCATATTCTGGCGCTGTCGTCGTTGGTGCACTGAGCAAAATACTAAAAGGGATTCTAGAAATTATTTCTCTATCAAACTCTGTAAAAATGAGTTACTCTAAATAAGATTAAAAATCATATATCACATGATAATCATATATCATAAGATCATCCTATATCATTTAGGCTTTATATACCATATGATCATCATATAACAAATCATAGATCATATTTTGGCCTAATATACATTTTTGAAGATTTTGATTTTGTATGATTGGATAATTTTATGGACTTAATGTTGATCTTATGATCCGTTCCCAACACATTTTTCTTGAACTGTAGCTCCTCTGCTGCTGCGGCTTTCTTCTCTCTTCTCGATTCTCGTTCTGGTTTTGCTTTTATTTATGCCACTTACTTTCTGACCGTCTCTTTTTGTTCGACCGTGCCCATTTCGACGGCGTGACTTGGTAGCGTCCATCTCCATCTCGGTTTGTTGATATTGGCCTGCCGTTAGGCGGGGGCGGGGTAGGGGCTGTCAACGCGATTCCCATCGCCCAGCACAGTGGGACTCGTAGTCGATTTTCACGCCAATTAGCTAATGAGGAAGCGTTTTGTTCGCCCATTCACTGGGCTAACAGCCAAATCACGTACGCATCCCAACTCCCTGTCACCTGAGCAAACGATATCAATCCGATCATGAGGGTTCTATTAAAATTATTTATGCCTTCGCCAAACATAGGTGCAGCATTTATGTACTAACAGGTGGTGTCGTAAATAAAGTTCTACAGATTCTGAGAATACATTTTTTTTGGTAGTAAAAAACCTATGCCTATAGGAAAAAGGTATAAAATAAAATTATAATGACCTCAATTATTGTCGAAGAAATTCGAGTCTATTATTAAAATGTTCTACCTTCTGGGTACAAATAAGCCGTAATTGTGATATTTCAGTTTGTTGAACTTCCCTTAATCAGACTCTATAAAAAATTAAAATTACCTCCTTATAAAGTGTTCCATTGAAAATATTAAATAAATTCCACGACCCAAATGTTTTTTTAACATCCAATCTGATTTTAAAATTAAATTTAAGTGTGATTAGGGACTTTCAGCTGTCATCATGGCCAACAAATGAATTTATAAGCGGGCAAAATGTTTACTTTGCGATCTGGAATCTCGCCAAAAGCGGTCAGCATACAGTCATAAATCAAATGACAAACTCATCTCAAAACTCGGTGTGAGCATTTCAAAACATTTTGTTTTATTTGTATACTGTTTGGTCTTTTACAAATCGTGAGGTTCGTGGGAGCCCGGTTTTCGGGGGGTACATGAATAGATTTCATACAATAAAGCGTGCAATGGCGCTATGGACGACGTCACATTACAGTTGAATGACATTGGGATTTGCTTTAAAAATAATGAATATGTTTATGTGTTTAAATAATTAGAGGTCTTAGCGGTTATTTTAGTTAGAAACGTTGATGTAGTTTGTGTATTTGAATTTGTGGAGCAGTCAAAAGTAATACAATGGAAATAAATTAAGCATAGCGCATGGAAATTATTCGATTATGTCTAGACGAATATAAAACATTGCTAATTTAAGGTCAGCGGAAGCGAGCTGTGTTTTTTGTTTAAGGATAATGGGTAACCATTGCAATAAAATTTGAAAGCCAAAGGCTAGAATAGGTAGTATTCTTGCATAATTGAGTTTATGGACTGGAACTTGTCTGGCCGATATTATAACCTATCAACTAATACTTATTTGATATCCTAGCAGCAGATCAGATCATTTGTCATGCTTACTTGTTCATATAATTGATCTAAAATGGTTCATAAATGTTTGGATTCAATACAGATAACGTCAAGTTGCAATTAAACCGTAAAGAGTTTAAAAATTATCATTGGAAGAGAGCATTACGTAAATATTCATTGGGAAAATGCCGAAACAAGTTCCAATATTTTTGTAGCACTAGGATAAAGTCAATTTTTAAGTATATTCTAACTAAGACAAATTATACATAATCTCACAAGAATTGTTTAACTAAACAGCCTCCATGATATACAAAAAACTTGCAAAATAACTCGCAGCTAAATCAAAATCGCGCAATACGATGACCTAATCTTCTTTCTTTGCCGGCTCTTCGTGATGCTTTTCTGGCTGGGCGATTTTGTCAGCCAGCAGAATCTTCTCTTTGGAAAGGTCCTCCTGCGGCACTCGCTTGTGGACAGTAAAGCAGATCCTGTTAAAGTGCTCGCACATCTGGTTTACCACGCTGGCTCCATACTGCCAGTGACTTAGGGTGGTTACAATCAAAAGCATGTACAGCAAAGGCCTCTCCAACAGGGGCAGCCACAGACTGACTAGGAAGGATAGCACGAACATGGGCGTCTGCCAGTGCCACGCCTCACATCTCGTCACTGACATTTGGGATACAATCAAACGACACTGCAATGATAGATTTGAGAGCATTAATTATAATAAGTGTGTTCCTTAAATCGTAAACCCCATTTTAAGGCTTATAATTAATGGCTGACGAATCGGAATTATATTTTCTGTAAACTGACTAAAATTTTAAAACCAATCAAATTTCAAGAGCGTTTAAGTTTGTTCCTCAATATTTGCTCAATCATAGGATCGTTCTCGTGGGGAAACACGAAAGTGCCGCGATCTCGTTTCAGATAGCGGTAGGCTCTATCCGAGTACCATCCGTAGATCTGGTTGAATGTCATCGGCTGCGGCGTGTTATGCTTCATCTCGTACTTTTGCTCAACGCCCTCGTCATGGCTGGCTATTTTCCGGGCATTCAGAAGGGACTCCGGGTCAAGCTTCTCCCGTATTTGCCGCGCCTCTTGGTTCGTGCAATTAAAATACGGCCAGTCGTGACGGGCGTAAAACTTCAGGGACAACGGGCGCTCATATTCCGCGGTGGTGGTGTATATAGTCTCCCTCATGGACTGGCGACCTCCTTCATTTGGTTTCTCCACCTCCAGATCCTTGGCACAGCGTCGGCCACCACAACAAAAGGGTGGCATTTCGGACTTTTTTGCCGGTGTGCGTTTTATCAAAGGCTAATGCCGATATGGGGCAGGCAAGACAAATGACTCATAAAAGTGGTTTCTGGCTGTTTGGCAGTTAACTCCGTGCCAAGGGGCCTGCAAAAGGTGAATGTAGACACACCCGCCTCTTATCTAGATTGCGTATGATTCAATCTACACGCGACCCTCTTTGATAACTGGAGTGGAACACCATTCTGACTGATTATATTTTTTTTTAGCAAAACTCATAAACAATTTATCTATTGAATCCTAAAGTATTAATAACTTCCAAGAACTAGTAAACATTAAAAAAGTAAGATAAGAATCATTAAGTGGAAAAAAATTACTGCTATCAGTTCCAAAATAATTGTAACGTCATCCAGATTAACTATTAGTATCATATCAATTTTTCACAATAATATCTGATTACTACACTTTAAAATTGATATTTGTATGAACCCCCATAATATTGTTTGAAGGACTTACGCTGACGTTGGAAAAGATGGTGCCGCTGAGCATGAATATGGCGCGTGGATCCTTTTCCATGATGTCGTTCGGCGAGACATATGGCCAGGTCAGCAGGATGACGAAGTAGGTGAGGAAGGGCCACATGGGCCTAATGGCTTCCCAAAAGGGTAGCATGCGTCCGGTGCGATTCGCATAGGAGCTAAAAATATAAACAGGTTTAAATAGGGCACTTGACATATATAGAAAACAGACATACTTGTACACATTAATGATGACTAGTGGAAGATTTGCCATGGCACTGACATGCAGGACCGCCTCCATGACATTGCCCATAGGCAGGGTTCCGTAGGATCCCAGGGGCAGTTCGAACTTCCAGCGCTCGAAGCCCAAATACCAGGTGACCATGTACATGGCCGTGCTGCCCCACATGCTGAGATCGTAGCCCCATGGTAGATAAAGGATGCCCGTATTGTACTTCTCCCAGTGCGAAACGAAGAAGTTGAAGTAGACTGTAAGGCAGACGTAGTACATCCTCATGGGTCGCACCGAATAAACCCGGCTCCGACCGAAAATGCTGTACAGGCACGTCGGGATCAACATGGCGGTGTAAGAGTCCAATCCATGATCAAAGAGCTCCCCCAACGGGCCGGACAATCCAATACGACGGGCCTGCTTGCCATCAATACCGTCCAGCGTGTAGGCCAGAAAGATGTTGATGCCCGTGCAGAGCCAGACCCACGAGGGAATGGGTGTGGTGCCCTCCTCGCCGGAACTCGCCTCGAAATTCCAGTCATAGTAGGAGAGCAGCACCAGGTTCATGGCGCTAAACAGGAAGCCCAGAAAGGTCATCAGGTTGGGCGCAAACCAGCGCGGGAAGAACTGCAGTGGGTGGAATGGTCAGGTGGGTTGATTAGTGGGCTGCCCCCATATGAATATTGATTTTTGCATGATATAATTCTGCGAAACACCCACCTTGACTAGCCAATTCCAAAAGGGATGCATCACATATTGACTCAGAGGGGAAGTATCGATGGCGCTGTACTGTAAGTAAAAAGTTCTGATTAAAGAGGGGAACAACCCATCACCATCATCATCATCATGAGTTTTATGACTATTTCAATGGCTTTCTTTTTTTTTGCATTTTTGCTTTGTCTGGTCTTTTAACTTTCTATAAAAAGAATTTTAATTGAAAACAAGTACGGGGCAAAGAGAACTGGTTTTTCCTTCTGGGAATTAAGAAGGTCACCCCCTCTTGAGGGAAGGTACAGCCGCCCCCGATAGTCCTTGTTTCCAGCCTTTAGGCCCACCTTGTAGTTGTCGAACCCATTGATTTGGGCTCGCGTCAGATATTGATGGTCCATCAGTCGTCTGATTAGCTTCTCCATTTCTAATAGAGGTTTTAGCGCTACGAGTCGAAATCGGGTTTCAAGTATTTTAATCTAAACGGAAAAACACGCGACGGATTTGAAAGGAGAGCGGCGGAGGCGGGGGTTCTTTGATAAAGCGTCTGAACGCTTTAGACGTTAATTAACTGAATTGGTCAAAACATGATGTTATGACAGAAGGTTGGCCGAACACAAAGCGAAAATGCTGGGCACGATTTTAAGCTATAGCCGCGCGTTTATTTTTATTGCGAAAACTGTTTCTTTTCTGCCGCTGCTGTTGCCCGCTGCCGGCTGTTTTTTTTCACGCTTGCATACGCACAGCGACCAACACTGACACACGCCACTGGGGATGTTTTCCAACACTGAAACAGCACTGCCCACTGAAATAGCATTGCTGCACTTTATGACACTTGAAAGTAGTTTTAACGGTTTTTCAGGGTTTTTAACGGTTTTTGCAAAGAAATTTTAATTATTATATAAGGTAAAATTAAAATGTATTTATTATTATTTTCCTAATAACTTATTTAACAACCACATTTTCTAATAAAATTAAGCCTCCAAGCAAAACTTATGTATTTAGAACTGCTTTTCTATCCAACCGAAACTTAAAATGCTAGATTAAAATAAGAAAAATAAAAAAGATCTTAACATTTTAATAAAACTGAGATTATAATTTAAAAAAAAAGAATAATTCGTTTTTTCTCTTATTTGTTTATTACAAAATTATAGTGTGGTTTCTGAAGGTAAATAGAAAATCAACTTCTAATTTTATGAGCTGCGGTTTTTCTATTCCCCTGACCCCAATCGTTCACATATAACCATATAAATTTTTAATCAATCATGCAATTGCGTTGCACATGCCTTATATGCAAAGCAATTAAAAATTTATTAACTACTGGACGGGCTCAGCATGTAAATGCTCTTTTAAAAGTTGTCGAAACGACAGAAATATTAATTGAATAATTGTATGTTTAAAACTGTATGGATGGGCTTTATTTATTGTAAGGACGTTTCAAAAATTCGTGTAACCTTTAACAAATCACATTGCTTACAAAAAAATACAAAAGAATGCACATCATAATTCTAACTAATTGGCTTAACAAAATGAGTCTAAATGAATTGTTGAGTGTGAGAACAAATTGATTTAATTAACTAAATGGTTATGGCTGCATATATATGGTAGTTAGCTCCTTTGAGTTAGCCTCCTGACTAGTATAGTTGCTCTAATAAATTCGCTACGCATGCCAATAGATCGGTTAATTTTACGTTGCCTAATTTGACTTTTTGAAATTCTTTTTGCGAATATTCCCGGGACAACCGCCGGCGCTGAGGAGGTGCAATTTCCATCCTCCATCCTGTGGCAGGTGCACATCATCATGACAGAGGGGACATCGGGCTGCTCCCGTTTTCAGTTCTATAAAAAAACGAAATTCAATTTAATCTGGGAATGGAACACAATTTTTCCTATCTTACCTCGACAATAGTCCTCCATCTGATGCAACTCATATAGCTGCTTGTGCACCGATTCAGTGCAGCGGGTACAGACCACATAGCTCTCCTTGGCATCACATTCCGCTGTGGAATATAAGTAATAATATTAATTAAATATAATACAGAGATTCCTTGAACTTACTTGTCAGGTGGTAGTTGAGGGCGGCTACCTCCAGCACTTGGCTGCATTGTGGGCACTTGGACAAAAAAGGACAGGTCTTCCAGTAGTGTCGGTCCAACTGGCTAGTGTCACTGCCAACACACGACCAATCGCAAAAGGGGCAACGTCTAAAATAAAAGTTAATATTAATATAACACTAAACACTTGTGAATTCAAAACTATTATTAATAATTTCAGGAATGCTTAAATATTGTCCAGCAGGTGTAGTATTCTCAAGCGAGAAAAATAGCAAAATCTAAAGTTTTTACTATTTAAAAATGTTTAATAATTTAAAAGAATTATTCCCTGTATAAAAAATAATATTAAGCCTTTCAGTGAAAAAAAGTTTTTCAATATCTTTGGAGTATACAAAATAACCAAAGACCTTACAAAGTAATCTTAATGCTCTGCATAGATTTCTATTATTACTCTTGAACCTTTTTTACTACTCACATTTTGGGTGTATTGTCCTCGGTGGACTCCGAGTTCGAAGCGGATCCTTTGCGCGAGTTCGACACCGACAGCATGGAGCGCTTCAGCTGCTCGTTGTACTGCTGCTTTCCATTGCAGCTCGCGTATCCATTACTGGAACTGGCCACTGCTCCCAGACCATGTCCACTCCGACTGTTCATCAGCCGAGAAGCATCCGAGCTGGTGGAGGCCTTATCCGCAGGGGGCGTGGCAGCATCCCCTGAACTGTGACCGCCCCCGTACTTGTTGGTCTCAAGCAACTCCTGCTTGCGATCCAGATCCAACTTGTCGAACTCGGTGAAGAGTTGGCGGTACAAGAGATTACGTCGCGTGATGTCGTCATCCGGAGGTAGTTGTTTGCGTACCAATCGGGGATTAACCTTGTAGACAAGCAGCAGGATCCGTTCGGCCACCTTTCGAACAGGTTCCGCCGGGTGATGGATGCCGGAGCAGCCGCACTCGGACAAGGCCCTGCAGGTGAGGCCACTGTGCTTGTCCGTGCTGATACCCTGAGTGTGGACAAGCTGCTCCAACATCTGCAGTCGGCTCATGGCCAGTCGCTGATGGGTTCCAGATCCAACGCTTCGCGATAGAGCCGGGGCAACCAGGTGCTGCTCCGCCACCTCAGGACAGGCGGCGATGCTGAGAATCGTGTGCTGGGCCAGGGTGTGCAGTCGAGCCGATGGATCGCCCGACTTGGCCAGTAGTTCGGGCAGCAGGCGGTCCACACAACGGGCCACCTCGTTGGGGGAAACGCGTCCGGGCACGTACTCCAGGAACAGCATGCGCACCGTCTCCGTGGCCTGGCCAAACACGGAGTAAACGGCGTCCCTCACCGCGCGATGGAGCAGCAGAGCTGCACTGCGAGCTACTTTGTTGGGACTGGCGGCATGCTCATTGCCCGAAGCCTCCACTAGGTCATGCTCCTTTAGGAAGTTGCGCAGGCGCAGCAAGCCATCCTCTCGATCCTGAAACTGACGCGAGTAGAACTGCTCCACCTGGGTAATAAAAGGGATGGTTTATAAGAATATATATTTGATCTTTTGGGGAACTCACCAGCTCACTGCCGAAGACCAGGATGGGTAGGGCTGCCTGGCGACGCTCGCGGTCGTTCAAACGCGAACGTCCCCGGTTCGGATCCGCTTCCAGAAGCGCGTTGCCTTGGCACTCCCTTAAAAATTCATTAGTATTTGAACTGTGAGCGGTTTTTCGTTTGTGGTATCGGAATGTCAACGATTACGGATGCGGTTACAATACATAGGAGTAGAAAATAAGTACAATTACTGGTAGATTACTCAAAATAATATTTACAAAGTCCCCTGAAGAAAAATTAAAATCTTTTCGATTTATTTATACTCAATTAAATATTCAAAAAATAAACTTTAACTATATTTTCAAAGATGTTTTTAATATCTGCAAGAAAAATTTTATGGTGTGGCTATATGACTGAAATCGAACTATCTTTTGTAAAACAATAATTAAGAAGTCCCTAAATATTTAAATATTTATTCGTGAATTCCTGAAAGTAGCTTCAAAATTACTTGTCACTATAAAAATTTCAAATTTGAAATCAGTTGACGGTTAGTGTTGGTCTATCGATCGGCTACTAGTGTTGACAAACATTCAAACTAGTCTACGAATAACGAGTCTGCATGCAACAGCTGTTTAAACAAAACAAAGTAATTACTATTCCACAATTGTTTACCTATTTACTAGACAACCAGACAACGATTAGGCCTCTCTCTACACTTGGTACTCACTGTCGCAGCGTGGGAATGGCTCGCTCTTCGTAATCCTCGTAGGAGTTGCGTGGCACGCTCTTGTTGCGCCTGCGCAGCGATCCCTGCCGACTGGACATGGGCGAACTGTGCCTGGAGGGTAGGCGTGGCGACTGGGGCAGCTCATCGTGGGACTTGCGCCAACCGCCCAGCGTGGGAGTGGGCGTGGCCTGCAGGGAGGTGGGCGCCGGAATGGGAGCAGGAGCTGTCACCACATTGTCATTACCAGGCTGCGAGCCATCCGTGGAGGACTTGTCATCCAAACTGAGACTTGTCAGGCTCTTGGGACTGAATGTGGCCTCCGCCAGGGCCTGGGCCACATCCTGCAGACTAGGAGCTGCGGGCAGGCTGGGTTTCCCACCCGCATAGATCTCGCAACTCTGGTCATTGCTGCTCAAAGGCACACCCTGCGGTTCCAGGAGCTGATGTACCTGCAATTGTCGCAGCACTGCCGCCCGGTACATCTCGATCTGCTCCTTGCGCAGCCTCGCCGTAGTGAAGTCCTCCTGCTGGACAGCCTGCCGTTTGGCCAAAGCATAGCGTCCCAAACGCTCTCCGGCGCTCCTCAACGCCGTCATGCATAGTTTCAGCTTGCGGGCATACTCGAATCTCTCGGCGTTAACGGCCAAAACCTTTCGCTGCTCCAGCTGCCGTATGGTCCGCACTATGGACTCCTCCACGTACATCGAGAACAGCAGGTCGTCGCAGATGGAGGCCAAAGCTAGCTCCCCGGTGGCGGTGTCCAGCGGTGGGGCCTCGCTGACCAGGTGTTCCTCGCCATTGCCATTATTTGGCCCTACATCCAGATCCTCGCCCAGGACATTCACTGCTAACAGGGAAATCTGACCCGTGTCATTGAAGTCGTTGCCCTGGACGCCAATAAGACGCAACTTAAGATGGGTACCCCGCCGGGGACACACGGTGACGCTCTGCAGCTCCCGGGACTTGTAGTTGGTGTTCGCATTGTCCGCCAGGGCAACGAAGCCCAGGAAGTCAAAATACTGCGAGGATGGAGTACTGGGCAGGGATTTGGGCGAGTAGTGTAGCCAAAGCTCGACTTTCTCAGCTGTGTAAAGGGGAAAACTTATTATTCGGAAGTCATTAAGATCACAGTAGCCAGCTTGTTTGTTAATCTCCAGCTTTTTAGTCTATTTTTTTTTATTTTTTATAGTAGTTTATTATAGGTTGCTTAAATGCTTTCGTTTGTTCTCGAAAATAATACCTTTTTTATATTTTTTTAATTTCCTTTACTAATTTTGATTTGTTAAAGTAGCAATTGTGATTGAAAGTAGATTAACTTACGTATTAGATACTGGTGGGCCAACAGTTGGATGCGATAGATCTTGGCCGGCTGTTGAAAGCGGAGGATTATGTCATGAGAGGTAAGGCTGGCGTCCGGAGCACTTCGCCATCCGTGAACAGTGGGTCCGTGATTGTTGAGCTCGCTGGCCGGAAAGTTGGCATCCTCGTCTGAAAGCAAACGAAATGATCGAATCATCATTACTTGCATTGGCTTTAAATGTTTGTGGCCAGGTGTCAATAATTCTCTTAATCGTTCTCTTTTTCGCATACTCAGCTAAACTTTTCCACCTGATAGTGATAGAGCACTCTTTTCCGTTCTCTTTCTTAAATTAAGCTGAATAGCAGCTGAGGTCATAGCAAAAATATTATGCCAGATAACCTTTAAGCCTAAATTTATAAATGTCGTGTAGAAAAGTCTACAATTTGTTAACTATCACACAACAGTGTTATTTAACAAAATTTAAAACAAGGGACAGTACATTAGGTTTAGTTTTAACTATGTTAACTGGTGCTATTCAATTGACCCCTTCTGTACAGCCGTATCTCACTTGTTTTTCTCTCTTTCTCTCTATCTCCAGGTTCCACGTTCTCTGTTTTGTATTTAAGCGATGGCGAGCAACATACTAGTTTAGTCGTCACTTCAGCCGGTCGCGGTATCTGATAGTACAATTGACTACGGTATCTTATAGTATAAATAACTGACTTAACAAGGAGAGAATAGATCGCAAAATGCCGGAAGGTTACACAAAAGCCACAGCCTGGCTGCAAATCCAAAGCCTGCTGAATAGCATTAACCACATGCTGATCTTCCTGGTGGCCGCCTTCTTCTTTCTCCTGGCCCGCAGTCTGGAGTTTAAGGACACGGCCATGCATATGTTCATGACGGGCACTGGAGTAAGTACTATATAATCAATACTGTTAGATTAACCTGGATAACACGGACATGCAACGTCACTTGTTATCTTATCGATGTGCTGAATTTAAAAGGCTTTCCCTGCTCTCTACAGTTCCACGTCCTTATCGCCCAGGCCATGATGTCACACTCTAAAGTGAACCCGCTCACGCGTTGGCTTTCCCATCGCAACAAGTCGCGTTTCCACGCCATCCTGCAAATCGTGGGCGGCTCTATGGTCCTGCTGGGCTCCCTTGGCAAGTTTTCCAGCAAGGAGGTGCATTTTAACACCTGGCACGGCTGTGTTGGTGGGTATTTCCCATATAATTAAGTACCATTGAGGGGGGCAATCTAATCAAACTGACATTTTATAGGCGGTGCCGCTACCTTTGGCTGTGCGGCTAGCATTGTGGGTGGTTTTGTGAACTATTTCCAGCCCAAGTTCGCCCTGAAGGTGATGCCTCCATCGGAGATTCGTTTTCGCCATAACCTTTTCGGCTTGGTCACCTTCAGTCTGGGCATGGGTGCCATCTACCTGGGCTACTACTCCAAATTCTTCACCAAGTTTGTGGACAACGACTTCATTCCCGGCATGATGCTGATCACCGCGATGGTTTATGTCTTGACCATCATTGCGCCGGTTTCATCGCTCCTAACTAAACTGAAATACAGATCCAAGAGAAAGGCGGAGCAGGCCCAGTAAGCGATGCTGGGGGGATGAGGCTGAGGCCAATGAGGCTAACCGGAAACTGTCAGGTCCTAGCATAGAAATAAAGAGCTTGGCGTCTGGCCAAATTGAAATCTCTGGCGGCCATACAAATTGCATATGCAGACACAAAAAGAGCCGACAACCGGCAATCTGTCAATATTATAATGAAATATTATGGTCATCGCGGTTGCAGTGGTTTTGGCCCGTGGTAAATTGGACAAGACCAAGGCAAATTGATTCTCCATCTGAGAATGTGGAAAAGTAAATATTGTCAATGGATTAGCGGCAAATAAAGGGCCAATGTCGTTTCTGCTTTTTTAAACCCCAACGTCCTGGCGCACTAGGCGTATGCGTGTTTTATCGATTTCTCAAGTGCAGTGGACTTTTAAGGGAATGAGAGAGGTAGTAAAACTTCTGTTTTCAGTCAAATCCAGTCTCGACTAAAAATATAATTAAAAACGCAAAGAAAACATAAAATGAGAAGAACAAATATACAAACTTAGGAAAACAAATAAAAGTCTATTTGCTGTTAGGCGTTCGAAAATATCCAATGTTTGTTTACCTGAGGCGAAGACCACGTTAAAAGGAATTTTCTTGGCCATGTTGGGGACGTCAAATGCGCACCACTAAGCCCCAAACTTTGGCCCACCCGCACATAAAACGCACAATTTCTTTAAGCGGTCCTTCGCGGACTAAACCTGCAGAAAGTTTAAGGAAATTCCTTCACAAAATCGGAGTTCGCGTTGCCAACTAGTGTTGCCAACTCATCGGCTCTTAACAGAGTTATCGATCTCATATCGATTGACACACAGCTGCTTTACATTTTGCCTCTGAGCAACACTGTTCTAATTCTAATTAGAATTATTTACACGGTTCTGAGGAATAATTAGCCATGCCAACAAATGCCCATAAATACAGCATACTGCTGCCCACCTACAATGAAAAGGATAATTTGCCCATTATAATATGGCTAATTGTGAAATACATGAAGGCCAGGTGAGTGGCGGCTTCTTTAAGACGTAAAACAGGGATTTCAAGTTCTTCCCTTGCAGCGGCCTGGAATACGAGGTGATTGTTATTGATGATGGCAGTCCGGATGGAACACTGGATGTGGCCAAGGACTTGCAGAAGATTTACGGCGAGGACAGGATTGTGCTGAGACCCCGCGGCTCCAAATTGGGCCTTGGGACGGCCTACATACATGGCATCAAACATGCCACCGGGGACTTTATTGTTATCATCGATGCGGATTTGAGTCATCATGTAAGCATTGATAACAGGAAGACGAGAGATAGTAGGTTAAAATTATGTGTTTATCCCGCTGCAGCCCAAGTTCATCCCGGAGTTCATCAAGCTGCAGCAGGAGGGAGACTATGACATTGTGTCCGGCACTAGGTACGCTGGTGATGGAGGCGTCTTCGGCTGGGACTTTAAGCGCAAGCTCATCTCGCGTGGCGCCAACTTTCTGTCCCAGGTTCTCCTCCGTCCGGATGCCAGTGATCTGACTGGGTCCTTCCGGCTCTACAAGAAGGATGTCCTGGAGAAATGCATCGCGAGCTGCGTGTCCAAGGGCTATGTTTTCCAAATGGAGATGCTGGTCCGGGCCAGACAGCATGGCTACACCATCGCCGAGGTGCCCATCACCTTCGTGGACCGCATCTATGGCACCTCCAAGCTCGGCGGCACCGAGATCATTCAGTTTGCCAAGAACCTGCTGTATCTGTTTGCAACCACATAAAGAACACCACAATCCACCATCAACTGAGTAGATTTTCAAATTTTTAATTTTCTTTGGATTTCTTTTGCTTTGTACATTTGGTAAGATTTGCTCAAAGAATTTTACATACATCTAATGAATTATGCATGAGAAATTTGTTTGCCATATTTATAATAATTCAGAGTTATGCTTTTCTTAAGCTCTCCCCTGTTAGGTTTCATTTATAATTTGAATAATGATAACTAGCGTTAATTGATTTAATTACTCAAGTCGAAAACTTTGTGCTGGTTGTCCGGATTGCCGTAGAGTGTGCCGCAGTCATAGTCCAGGGCGGCTCCCGATCCACCGCCGTAGTTCTTCAAAGCCAGGGTCAGCAGGGAGTTGCGATCTTTGAGAGCCAGCACCACAAAGGCACCGTTTGGCAGGATCTCACAGGTGCTGACCTGCGCCGGCGGCTTGAACACGGCCAGGGATTTGGCTGCAGCAGAAAAGGAACAGGCATTATTATGCTGGCTAAGGTGAAACCTCTGAAACATACCTGAGTTCAACTCCCACATGCGGACGGCAGAGTCACGCCCTTCCTTGTCGTACGAGAGCAACACCTTGCCCAGCGGATCTAACTTCAAGAACGTCACCGGAGCATTGTGACCGATCAGGGTGCTCTTGCAGTTGCCCGTGACTAGGTCCCAGATCAGGATTTTGGCATCCTCCAGGCCAGCGATGACACAGGCGTTCACCTGGGAGATGGCCAGGGAGACGGTGTTGCAGGTGGGCTTCCATTTCTTGAACAAAGTGCCGCTCTGCAGGTCGTATACCACAATGAAGTTGGGCGTCGTGGGCTCGTTCAGCTCCTTGGCCACCACGCAAACGTAGGAGCCCTCGTGGGTGATCGCCGAAAGCGAGGTGATGAAGTCGTGATGCGGGATTCGGAGGTCGTAGAGCAGCTTGCGCTGCGAAAGGTGCCAGACAAGCAGGGGGAAAGGCTTCTGGGTCTCATCGCCGCACACTAAGATCCTAGAAACCAAAGGAGGATTAATAAACTACTTTAATATATTATTTCAACAAATTACCGCCCGTCTCCAGAGACCAAAAGTGAATTGAGAAAGCGGTCCTCGCCCGCCTTGAAGGTGGTTACACAGTCGCCCGACTCCAGATTCATCAGGTTCACATACATCCGGTTTCGGGACAGGCAAACCAAGTGGTTTTGATCGTGCAGACCGAAATACGGCATCTTTTGGTTCATCACTCCCTTAAGAGTAACCTGGAAACACAAGGAATATCATATTACTAGGCATGTTTCCAGACTTTTGGAATTAATTTAAGGTCCAACTCACCTTGAACTTTCCCTCGTCCAGATTGATGACCCGGATCTCGCGGCGACACAGGACAGCCGCCTCATAGTTGCCCACAGGACACATCGCCGTCGGCTGCTGAATGCCCTGCAGTTCTCGGATGCGGCAGCAGTTCTTCACATCCCAGATGCAAATCTCAGCTCGCTCGGTGCACATGGAGGCCACATAGCAGCCCGGCTGGGGCAGATTCATCAGGACATCGTAGCCCTTGACGGGCACCGAGGTTGGAGGATCATCCTCCGACGGCTTATCCTGCTCTTGATTGCCATTCTCCGCATCCAGATCCGCGTTCAGAATCTCCAGAAAGGCGAACTCCAGCTCGTTGGTGTACTCCCACCAGGAGCGTATCTTCTCGTCGTCCTTGAGCTCTGGTGCCTCCCTGAAGCGAGTCTTCAGGTAGTACTTCATCAGCGTGTAGAACTGCTGGCCATCGTAGCTCAGCTCGTGGAGATACTGCTCGAGGAATTGCTTAAGGAAGTTGATGTGCACATAGCCGCTGGGGCTATTTTCGCCGTTGGATTTGGCCAGCCACTCCGCCTGCAGGATGTCATGAAGCAGGTGCTCCGGTCCCGTGGCGTGCACCTTGTTGGCGATCCACTGCAGATCCGTAAAGTAAAAGCAGTTGAAGAGTATGTCGATCTTGTGCGGCGCCGGATTGTCCTCAATCACGGCACAGAAGTGATGATAAGGCAGTTTTAAGTACTTTTGGTAATTGTAGCTGCCAAGAAGAACAGATTATGAATTTGATTACTTGTAAAAGGAATACCACTCACGTGTTGGCACCCTGGCTACCCTTGAACTCGCTGTCCTGCCGGTCGAAGTAGTCCCGCAGCGCTTCATGTACCAGCCACTGCTTCTGCGCATACCTCGCCAGGACCGCTCGTCCAAAGCTCCTGTCCGCTATCCTAATATTCTTAAGACCTAACAGCATTGGTCCCATCAGCCAGCAGAACTTGGACCAGACCTTAAAGGCGACCTGCGCCTCCAGCTGGGTCATTTTCTGGAACACGCCCAGGCAGTCGCTCTCGCGGATGCCCCACGGCGACAGCCGGACGATCAGCAGCAGCAATTCCACCTGATCGGCGGCAAACTTGGACTCGAGGACCTGCAAAATACGGCCGGAGATCTCTCCGATCTCACCAATCGGCTGGGCCACATGTCCGAGCCAGGCGAGCCACCACAAGGACTTGGCGTGGTACGGTGTCTTGCCGTGCAGCATCTTCCACTCATCGGGCAGTTTGAGTGCCCCATTGGCCGCGTAGAAGTCACCGCCACCGGAACTGAGAATGTCGTGCCACTGGCGCTCCGTGAATTGTCGCAGCCGCAGGAAGCACCTCTGTGGTATGCCCAATTGCGCCAGCGCGGCGAGCATATCAAAGGAGTCGTTCCCAGCCTCCGTCCCGTCCACGTCCTCGCCCTCATCCTCGCTAATGGTGAGGATCAGTTTGGCACTGCCCAGCTGCTGGGGTAGCCAATCGAGCAGTTCATCCCGCTGCAGTTCGTCCACACCGTCGATGATCAGCACAAAGAAGCGCTGTTGCCGCTCCAGGATCTCGTGAATCACACGAGCATAAGCCTCTAGTTTCTAATTTGGAAGGATATACATAATTATATCCTTCTGTATGTGAATTAAGACTAAATTCCTTACGTGTGGCACTTGGCATTGATGACCTGTCTCCAGGACGGACATCTGGTTGGCCATTGAACCCAGCAGTGAGGTGAGATCTGAGGAGCGGGCACTGAGATTGGCATATCTACAGAGGTAATTATATAAATAATTTAATCGTTAGAATTGCAATAATGATGGGTAATCTTTTTAGATTCCTTTTGGAAACATACACACCTCAGTATGAGCTGGGCTTCCGGCTTCCAGCGGTGCACGTTCTCCATGATCTTGGAGACCAGGACGCTCTTGCCGCTACCCCGGGCGCCGGATACGACCAGCGGTTGGGCGGTGCTGTCCCGGATGTAGCGCTTCACGTCGTTCATAATGTCGAAGTTGGCCGAGTTCTGGGCGAGCAGCTTCGAGTAGTGGCCCACCAGGCGGAGTTCCTCGAGCAGCACCCGGTCCACGCCCAGCGTGTTGTAGGGAATGCTGCTCTTCTGCTGATGCTCCTCGAAGATCCCGGCCAGCACCTTGTCCAGCAGGTTCTCGATCACAGCCGAAAGCTCCTCGTCCAGAATGCTCATTGTGGGCAGCAGCCGGATGAGGTTCTTCTCGCTCAACTGGTTCTTGAGACCGGAGTAAACATGACTGATCCTTCGCTGCACCTCCTGCTCCAGCTGGCTGGCATTCTCCGACAGTCGCGTCATCTGGCTGCCCGTCTGTATCCAGATGCAGCGCTTGGCCAGCTCCTGACTAATCAGCACCGTGTTGTTTATCTCCTGCTCCACCACGGTGGTCAGATACGAGTCCTTGACGTCGTCGGAAAACAGGCGCAACAGGACAGCCAGCAGCTCATTAAGTTCCACGTTCGCCTGGCTGGAGTACGGATCCACCTGTTGGGCATGGAGGCGGTGGCACATCGGCTGGTACGAGTTGTCAATGGTGTACCATTTCTCCAGGAGCAGGCGCTCTGCCTCACTGGCGGTGCCCAGCACCGAGGTGAAGTCCTGGCTCTCGATGGTCAGCGGCAGCATTGGAGTGCCCAGGGTGGCGCCCAGAAAGAGGACCGGCACCACATATGCTCCGGCCGAGTGACGCGTAATTTCGCTCAGGCAGTTGGCCGCCTCCTCGTGACCGCCTTGTGCCTCCAGCGGTGTCTGGGTCCAGCGTTTCACCTCCTGCAGGCGCGAGAAATCCTTCCGGGCATTGCCATTGCCCGGCTCCGTTTCCGGCTCGCTGTCGTGGACATCGGCGATTATGAAGTCGAAGCCACGGCTTTGGCACTTGCTCTTGAAGTGTTTGTACAGGCTGTGGACGACGCGCTTGTGCTTCTTGTACTCGGTGCTGTTGTCGGCCAGGATATAAACTACGATCTTTTTGTCCCGCTCAATCTTCCGGCCGGGCGGTGGCTTGCCCTGCAGCACGCTCAGGTTTCCGGCTCCTGGATTGGCATTGGCCACGTCACTGGGCGCCTGCGCCCCCTGTGGTGTGGTGCTATTTGAATCTGTCGAAGAGGTAAATAATTTATAAGATGGGGAACCAAAACCTTACTTAAATTAATTATTACATTTCATTTTATGATATACAATGATATTTAAGATAAAACTGATGATTTGGCGAACTTTTAAGTTAGAAAATTAAAGATCAATACCATTAAATGAATTTAATGTGCCATTCCGATTATTCTTACGTTTAAGAATGGTCATAATATGTAAAAAAAGAGGTAATAGAGAAATCTTGGTCTACAGATGTACCCTTACCAGCTGCGCCTGTCTTGCCCGGAACCGTTGGAGGCTGTTGCTTCTGGTTTCCATTGGCTTCTGGCAGTGGAGTCACCTCCGGCAGCGCCTCTACGGCCGCCAAAGGAGCACGCTTCTCGTCGCCAGCAGTCGAGTCGGTGGAGATCAGGTTGTCCTTCTGTTCCGCCTCCTGGTATGGAGGGGAGCTGCAATCAGAACCAAAAACAGTTTTAATGAGGACTCTTCGCTATGAGAAAACCACACTTACTCGTCTGACTTTTCGGAGGCACTGTCCTTGTCCTTCTTCTTCTTCTGGCCGGAACTGCACACGTTGCCCATTGCGGTCG